ATATTTAAAATTACATGCTTCAATATTCTTCCTTGATTTAGTTGTCAACTACAAGCCTCATCACTCTTCCTTCATTAAGTCATCAACTACAAGACTCGACACTCTTCCTTGAGTACGTCATTAACTACAAGACTCAACACTCTTCCTTGATTAAGTTGTCAACTGCAAGCCTCAACATTCTTCGTTCATTAAGTCATCAACTACAAGACTCAACACTCCTTGATTAAGTTATCAATGAAATGTACAGACAACAAAACTGGAAAAATATTTGTTGATTTCTTAATTTAGTCTACATTGATTAAAGAGGATTGTTTTTTATTAAAAACATTGGTGATATAATAGAAAATAGCTTACTTCAGAAACGATTTAAGTTTAAATTGAATCAATATTTTTACTTTCAAGATAAATTTTATACACTTGGCTATAGGCTAGGTGATCCCACACTATGCCTTTAGACTTATTATAACAACACTCACTACACTTATAAGGTTTCACAGCCCCTCTCATGGCCCCCTTGCACCCCCATCACTAAAATCATAATGTGCCGATAGTAATCGAACTATTCTATCTGGATAAATGCATTTTGGTGTTTATGACTTCTCCTATTTTGAGAAATCAAGCGTGATGTGACACATAATGGCTTTTGTATAGGTTAGATATTAAAACAGTTAATATTTACATCAAAAAGAAGGGCTGCATGAAAAATGGCAAGACCAAATCAATGACGAAAAAACATTTTTATAATACAAAACAGGCCTTAACAAAAATATGACATTGTTTAACCAAAACAAGGTCACCATGGTACGGGTTATTATGTGTGTTCTGGTCTTCGGAAACAAGGTCACCATGGTACGGGTTATTATGTGCGTTCTGGTCTTCGGAAACAAGGTCACCATGGTACAGGTTATTATGTGTGTTCTGGTCTTTGGAAACAAGGTCACCATGGTACAGGTTATTATGTGTGTTCTGGTATTCGGAAACAAGGTCACCATGGTACGGGTTATTATGTGTGTTCTGGTCTTCGGAAACAAGGTCACCATGGTACGGGTTATTATGTGTGTTCTGGTCTTCGGAAACAAGGTCACCATGGTACAGGTTATTATGTATGTTCTGGTCTTCGGAAACAAGGTCTCCATGGTACGGGTTATTATGTGTGTTCTGGTCTTCGGAAACAAGGTCTCCATGGTACAGGTTATTATGTGTGTTCTGGTCTTTGGAAACAAGGTCACCATGGTACGGGTTATTATGTGTGTTCTGGTCTTCGGATGTAACTGCAGACACAGCAGTTTGTTTTTTTATTACAAATATTTTTCTTACGTTTATAGCATGTCTATAACTTTCAGTCACTGCCTGAAATTCTAAGAAACTTTTTACTCTTAATAGGAAAAAAAATTAATAAAACAGATCACACATACACAAAAACAAGAAGTGCGGTCTTTAGACAAGTTTTACTTAAAGTCCACATTTTTTATATTATCAAATTTAAAAATATAACAATAATTTTATAACACATATGTCTACATGGTATATTTTATAACACACATGTCTACATGGTATATTTTATAACACGCATGTCTACATGGTATATTTTATAACACGCATGTCTACATGGTATATTTTATAATACACATGTCTACATGGTATATTTTATAACACACATGCCTACATGGTATATTTTATAACACACATGCCTACATGGTATATTTTATAACACATATGTCTACATGGTATATTTTTGATATTTTAAATCATTCCTATTATTCAAATAAATTTCTACTCTACTGTGTTCTTGCCTTTTAGTTCCAAGTTTTCTTTTAGCAATTCTTTTAACTTCTCTTGAATCTCTTCATAAGAAAGATCAGGGCTAGCTGATGCCAGACTTAAGTGCAAATTATTCAGTAGGTCCATGGAATCTGGAAAGTGGACTTCATCAATGCTTGGAGATGACGACAATACCATAAATCCATCTTGCTCCTTATTCTCATCAGAACAGTGGCCAACAGACATGGGCAAACTAATTTCCTTTACAATTTCCATCAACTGCTTCTATCACCTAATGATATAAACAAAAAAAGGAACAAATAAGAATTTATTATGTAGTTTCTTTTGTCTTTCTACTTTCATTGTCAACTAAGCTTTAGTATAAAAAACCACTAAACACACAAAATGTTTTTTTTATTATGCAGTTTCTTTTGTCTTTACACTTTTCATTGACAAATAAGTCTGTTAGTCTTACAAAATCCCTCAGTTGAAAAAGGTGTGCCATTAAACAATTATTTGATGTTTTCAATAGAACATTTTCACACATTTTGACTGAACCTTAGTGAACCTACAAGCTTACTATATAGTGCATATTGCATGTTTTTACAATCTATTGTTATTCTATCTTGTTGAATTTCAACCACTATAAAAACCTTAATTTATAAACAAGAACATATATCAATCTAAATGCATTAAAACTGAAGAAGATTAGTGGATGGCAGTACACAACTAACTAGTCTGTAACAGCCAGACAGTCAATGTAAGATCTAAGTGCTAGAGTAAGATCTAAATGTTTCTCAATACACAGAGTATGAATGGTATAAATGAAAGAACCATACACTTTTTGGGTCACTGCCTCAACAGGGCAACCTAGTATTACCAATATATTTACACACACCTATTTTTAGTAAGTAAGGATTGTTTTTTAAGATCTGTATCATTAAATCAACAAAAACTTAGGACCAATAATTACTGTAAATTGCAGGTATTATGCCATCAGTCAATAAGCTTATAGCTCTTTATATTTTTGTAGCTACTTTTACTTTTTATTGACAAAATAGTTTACATAGTTACTTCAAAATTACAGTTATTTGTAAATTTCAAAATAAAATTGACAAAAACTCAAATATTTAATATACAAATAAAGTAAGAAATTCTTGCTAACTGTTTAGCAAATCAAAACCAATCATATATTAAATTTGAGCTGTATATAGTTTTCTTCATTACCCATTTAAGCCATCTCTAAACTTTATTAACCAAACGTCCATAGGATCAGACCAATGAACAAACCTGTAATGGAGATTGAAATTCTAAATTTACAACATTAACTCAAAAAAATAGTGGCACCTGTTCTACACAAAAATCAGATTGTTACAAAAGTATTTGTACTTAAGAGATGTCTCTAATTCAAAGGGGTCAGTCTGACTCAGATTTTGACAAGTCGGAGTACAAAGTGATGTTTAAATTCGATGACGAGGAACCCACTTTGAGACTAATAATGGCTGGAGACGGCTTAAATGGGTAATGAAGAAAAGCTTATATTAAAGTTTTTCTTCATTACCCATTTAAGCCGTCTCCAGCCATTAAAAGTGATGTTTATGTGAAGAATAAAAATACTTTTGCCCATCATACAGTTTGCATATATTTGCATAGCCTCTAGAACCTATGAAATGCATATCTACAGTTTTTTTTTTTCTGTTAAGTATCCCTATATAATGTATCTGGTATTTATTCTCTTCTAAGTTCTAAATGATAAATCAGCAATGTATTTAATGTAGGGTAAAATGAATAGTTAATACTCTGCATAATTAGCTCGTACACTGTCATTAAAGTTAAACTCTGTAAGTGTAACGTTACTCACATACCAAATATACTGAATATATAGCTATAACTTTAGCCATGGGGCATCTCTACCTGCTAAATTTTAAAATGAGTTAAATAAAATAATGGAAAAATTACGCTGAACGTTTCTAGATAATGCAAAATTCGTGTTTTGACTTGACTTATCAACAAATATGATTTTATATCAGCCTATTTCAAAGCTAAATGTTTGAGATTTTACAGTGATTTCATATCACATCGTTAGAATTACGAGAATTCATGTAAGAATGACTGACTCCTGTGGACATAACACGGTAGCAAACCAGCAATGTTACCTGCAATACATCATTCATCAGTTACTATTAATTTCAAGAACGCCAGTAACCCTAACGCGTTAGATAGATCGCTTTTTTTTACTCGTGGCTCTGGTGTGAAAAATAAATAAATACTATTGACCTATTATTCCTTATCGTAATTATGATCCTTAAGTGACTCAAATAAAATTTATAATACTCACATTTCACTTAATTAATCTAGTTCACACCATAAAAGTTGTTTTTCATATAATTAATAATAAAATTAGCGCCTTCGCCCACTGCTGTAAAGCCTTGGTATTGAACGAAAGACCTCGTCGGAACTGAATATGGCCGATACAGTGTGGTTAACATATTATCACTTATTATTATTTGCTTTCTCTTCTAGTTTTCTTATAATTCTAAAATAAAATTGATACGAATCCGAGAACAAATTTTCTAAGAGAAAAAGGATGAAAAATATTAAAATATTGTCAAGCTAAGTTTACAAACTGCAAAACAGGATACTTTATGCTTTACAAATCAAGGAAAGATATATTTGGATACAACAATATTGTTCACTCCGTTGGTAGGATCACTCAGCTAAAGCTTCTGCAGTGTTTAATACGTCCACCACTTTCAAACCGGCTCACTTCGGGAACAAATTTAGGCCCGGCCCACCAAACATGTGGGCGTTATTATGTGAAGGTCAGTTGGTAAAAGAGTAGTCCAAGAGTTGGCGGTGGGTGGTGATGACTAGCTGCCTTCCCTCTAGTCTTACACTGGAATCCCTTCGTAGCACTTTTATCAGTAAGCAGTTCGGATAAGGTTAGAGTAAAATATTTAGCCTGTACTTAAATTTTCATACAAAAAAAAATAATTGAATTTACAACTTATATTTGTGTAAATAATGCAGTCTCAATTATTATATTCTAGCTATAAAAGTCAGTATATATATAT